TTTAAAATGTAACTAAGTTAAGTTAAAATTATTTAACTTTTCAACTTTTTAACTTAACTTTTAGCTTTTTAACTTGGCACTACACCCAACCCTGAAATGAATTTTAATGTCAATGCTGTCAAAGACATTCCAATCACAACTATTATTTCTTAAAACTTTAATATTACTCCATGATATTTAGCCGTTTAGTAATAATAAATGCAGTAAACATCGTGTTTATACCATTTTAAAGATGCAGTTTCCTAAAAAGCTTGTTCGACAAGCGTTGCTTTTGTTTTTTAATCTTTAAAGAAGAAAACGACAGCTCAAGGTTACATACAGAATTCTGATATAAACTTATGATGATGTTATTCCATCAATTAAGACATATGAATATTATTTCTGTAGATTCAAAAGTGGTGATTTCAATATTAACGACAAAAGCAGGAAAATGCAAAATTTGCAAGTATTATTGGACGAAAATCTAGCACAATCCACTTCAGAACTTACCAGAGAATTAAATGTTGAAATTGTTACAAAGTTAGTAAATGTTTACGTAATATGTTAAACTGTTTTTTAAATAAATCAGTTTTCGACAAAAAAACCCTCAAAATTAAATTACACTCTTAATACATATACAGTGAGAGCAAAAAGTATTTGTACAAAGAAATTTTTTATAAAAAAAGTCTTATTTGTAGAAAATAAACGTTAATTAGCAATTTTATACAATAAATACATTATGTTCTTACAAACAAGCTTCGCACATATTCTTGATTTTAGAAGCTAAATTTTTCGATTGTACGAATACTTTTTGAGCATCCAAATACAATTTTTAATTTTCGCTTATTTTTCAGATGAAATATTTTCTATGATTAATACAAATCTTTTTGGTATATATAATTTTAAGAAACATACAGTCTATTTTATTCTTTATAAATAAATTGTTAATTACACCGCAAGAAATGATCGTCAATTAAATGTCGAATCGACGTCAAATCCCTTACGGAAAAAACTCTGAAAATTTCAGTGTTTATACTCAAATTTGAGTGTAAACCCTAAATTTTGGTAGTTTACTCTGAAATTTGTGTGTTTACACTTAAATTTTGAGTGTTTACACTCAAACATTGAGTATATACACTCAAAGATTGAGCGTTCACAACGTTCATACTCAAGTTTGAGTTTACACACTAAACATCTAAAGGTTACTCTCAACACTTGGGTATGACACGCAATAAATGAGCGTAAACCCAAAACCTTTGAGTGTCTTCAAAATTGAGTATATAAACTTAACAGTTATATTTGAGTTTTAATTTCTATGATTAAGATAAATGCCAAAATATTGAATGTAGGTGCCCGCAAATATTTGAGCAATTAAAAATAATGGCGTTTACAATTTAATATTTGTTCTGAAATTTTAATTTGTTTTGAAATTTTTATTTGTTTTGAAATTTTAATATTTATTTCTATTCCTATAATAATACTTCCTCCATTGTATGTAGGGTCTAAGGGTGAAATCAAACGGTGCGGAAAAGAAAATATGTCACAAAAGCAACCAATCAGCTTTATTCTACGTTATTCCGAATAGCGCTAATTGGTTGTTTCAATGGGCGCATTCAGCGGACTCAACAGTTGAGTGCGAGTGCCATGCTCGCTGTTATTGGTGTATTCTTTTAGCTCATCCAATCATAATTTTAGATCTAGAAGAATATACCAATAACAGCGAGTGCTCACTCAACTGTTGAGTCCGCTGAATGACGCATTCTTTGTCCCGCAATCATTTTCCGCACCGTGTGATTTCACCCTGACACTCAAGTTAACTATCATGTTGAGATTAACACTCAACATTCAAGTCATCAATAACACTCAAGTTGAGAGTTATACTCAGGTTGAGCGTCCAAAATAATCATTAATTGAGTGTTACCTTGAGTGTATTTTTCAGTGTTTTTCAAATTGTAAACACTCAACTTTTAAGAGTTTTTTCCGTAAGGGTAACCCTTCTAACATTCTAATTGGATGAGCTAAAAGAATACACCAATAACAGCGAGCATGGCACTCGCACTCAACTGTTGAGTCCGCTGAATGCGCCCACTGAAACAACCAATTAGCGCTATTCGGAATAATGTAGAATAAAGCTGATTGGTTGCTTTTGTGAAATATTTTCTTTTCTGCACCGTGTGATTTCACCTTTAGACCCTACGTACAATGGAGGAAGTATTATTATAAGAATAGAAATAAATATTAAAATTTCAAAACAAATAAAAATTTCGGAAAAACAAATGAAAATTTCAAAAGAAATTAAAATTTCAGAACAAATATTAAATTGTAAACGCCATTATTTTTAAGTACGCAAATATTTGCGGGCATCTACATTCAATATTTTCTCATTATCTTAATCATGGAAATTAAAACTCAAATAATTGTTAAGTTTATATACTCAATTTTGAAGCCACTCAAAGGTTTAGGATTTACGCTCATTTATTGCGTGTCATATATCCAAGTGTTGAGGATAACCTTTAGATGTTTAGTGTGTAAACTCAAACTTGAGTATGAACGTTGTGAACGCTCAATCTTTGAGTGTATATACTCAATGTTTGAGTGTAAATACTCACAATTTAAGTGAAAAACACACAAATTTCAGAGTAAACTCCAAAAATTTGGGGTTACACACAAATTTGAGTATAAATATTGAAATTTTCAGAGTTTTTTCCGTATGGGCATCATATCGATATTGATTCAACATCAATTCGATTACTCATTTCTCGCTGGAGAATATTTATTTTTTTTAAATACAGTTTTTAAAAAAAATATTTTGTCTCTACGAATATTTTTTGCACTCACTGTATTTCATATTTGTAATAACTTACATTCTTATTTTTATTTTCTAAAGTAAATTTTAACGGATCCCATGCCAATTCTTCGTTGTCGATGTTTCTGGATATGTTACTTTGCGACGATTTCAGTCCAAAAAGCGTACTTATCTGTCAAAATAAATAATCGAACATCTTAAATTTTATAAATATAAAAAAATATCACTGCTGTATAATGTAAATAATTTGTATCTTATCATACATATATTTACCATTTGTGCAAGAAATACAACACTATTGACTGCGATTGCTGCGATTTTTTGCGAATCAAATCCAATGAGTCGAAAGAATGCAGAAACAAAATTTGAAGGACCAAACAGTTGTTTTTCATCATTTCCGTTTTCTCCGCGTTTTTGCTTATGACCTAAACTCTTAGACACCAAGTCGGCAATGTCTTTAGCCGTCTCTAGATAGTTACTTGCATGCTGTAATCCTACCTTTATCTTATCCAGAATATCTGTGTGTGATTGTGAAATTAAAAATATACAATTCTTTTTATAGCAATTTATTTATAGTAATTCCTCAGCACACACACACACACAAATACTAAAGCTGAGATTTACAACAAAAAATTAATTCTTCGGAAGAAAAATAAACTCACCTTCGGTATTTGTAAGTTCCACTTTGTCAAATACAGTTATCCAAAGGACACAAAAGAGAAAACACGAAACGCTGGACATTTTGTCGAATCAAATTGTTCAACAATACTGACAATGAGACTACTACTAAGAATCTTTGTAAAACAGATTATAACGGGTTTTGTGTTAATTATACTTTTATTCCGTTGAGTCTCCGCGACAAGCCCCCGTTGGGTCGCCTATGCGATTGTCACTCTTCTTGCTTCGTCAGCCAAGCGCAAAAGAAAACGGCATCCGTGTTTCACAGTACGATTTACTCGCGTTCCTATCAGACGCCAGTAAAAAGTTGACTAAAGCACTAGGACATTCCAAATTTACATAGCTGTCATCATCGCGTATTTGACGAAAAGGTATGAAAAGTGTTTATTATAAAATTGTTTAATATTTACTGTTCTAAGTTAAAATATTCAAATGAGTGTCCATTTTTACACTATTGGAAATAAGATACCTATATTATAACATGTTAATATAATAAAAAAAGGAGAGAGAGAGAGAGGGGGGGAGAGAGAGAGAGAGAGAGAGAGAGAGAGA